TATGTTTAGTTCTGAATTCCTTGAGAATTCAGAATGTGTCTGTCTTGTTCCCTGTACCTAATCAGGCATTTAACTATGTGCTTGGTAGATGTTTACAAAATATTAATTCAATGAATAAATGTGGATTCAGTGTTTATTATCTCAGAGAAATGTTTTCTGCCACTTACAGATCCATCCTCTTTGTACCTAGAGAGAACAGCGATGGTGCTAAACCTTTCATTCTGTTGTTACCACAGAGAAAACAGTAGCCATTGCTCAGGCATTTGCAAGCTCCCATTTCTACACCTGCCAACTAATTTCTATCCTCACTCATTGACTACTTTCCTTCTATATTTCATAGAGACAAATGTCCACACTCTTTTCTATCCTCCCACCCCCTCTAGGATTTCTTTAGCTTCAATCTCTTTCTTCTTCTCTCCTTGGACCCTATAACACAATCAAGCCCAACTACCCTAAAAATTGCTTTCCCTTGCCACCACCCCCACCCCCGGCCCTTTACCAAATGCACTAGACACCTGCACTTCGGAACATTCTGCTAATGTCACCTGCCATCTTCATGTGACATTTCCCAATCTTCTTTCTGTCTGGGGAATCACTTTACCAGTAGAAGCCAGCAAATCTATCAACCTCAACAGGCAAAAAGATGTGTGTTTAATGAATAATACAAAAACGAATAAGAGGGGTTATTGAATATAGAATGAATGGCAAGTGATGAAAATGCACTTCCAACTTAATAAGCACCTCTTATTTTATGTCCCCAATGTCAGCTGCTGTCGAAGAAAGCAGCACACAAAGATATTATTGGTTTTGAAAGGTAAACCTTTCCTGATTGTCATTTTCAAAGAAAATGGATGCCGTTAGCCATAAATATATGAAACTTACTTCAAATTTCCCCTGGGATTTACCAAGTTTTCTTGAACTTAGCCAGTACTTTCTTCTGTTCAATTATTGAAAACTTCAATTATACATTAACCCCTTAGGATAAAAAAAATCTCAATGTTCAGACCAGTAGAAAATACCTCACCATGCGTTTCTATTTCAAATATAATTTCCATCTCCCTTTTCAGAAATAGCTTTACTTTTTGATGAACAGGTCATGAAGGGACCTTCAATTAATTTCCCCCTTATGGCCTTCCTGTGCAGATCTGCCATTTAAATAAATGTAATGACTGACCTTAGAGTTGTCTAGGCACCTACAATACTGAAAATCTTAATGAAATACCAAATACCTTATTAAAACAAAAGCATTTCATATAAGCACATAAAATTGAAAGACTCCTAATATTCTTTTTCTTCTGTGACTTATGTGAGAGAGCCTATGTCTTGAGAGAGATATAAACAGATACTTGAGGGGAAAAAATTGAATTTACTTACAAAGAACTAGTTAATGGAATTTGTTCCTTGGTAACTTTTTCCTTTCATTTTGGAACTTACTCTTGACACCCTAGAAAATGTCCTAGAAAGTTTGATCACTTATAATGATATCTTTTTGTCATCCTCTGCCACCCATCTAGGCAAAGGGAAGGATAATGAAAGACAAGAAAAAAAGTATATCAGACACTGAGTGGGCTTAAGGTGTTTATCAGAATTTAGGTATGATAAGATATTTTAAATGTACTCAATGTAGAAACATTTGCTGTTAATGTGAAGTAAAATCCACAGTGTCTGTTTATTCATCATTACAATTCATTCAGTAAAAAGTTTATTTTATTTAAGTGGCTGGTTATAACACAAATTAATAGGTCATCAGTGTGTTAAAATAGGTAACAGCATGGAACTTTTAATTAGCCCAAAGTTTAATTCTGTGCAGTCCACAACTGTGTATATCGCACAAAATGAAAACTATTTGAAATAATATATAGGTTAGTTAGATTTAGCCATCTGATTCTTATTTAATAGTAAAACACCAAATGAACTCAGTTTGGATGTAATTGAATGGTATTTGTCAAGTCTCCTTGGGATAATTGCAACATAAGCTGAATTGTTCATTGTGGGTTGCCAGTCTCCTTCTGTTGTGTATATGGTCTGGTATTCTGGGACTAGGACACATGATTGCAGGGGAAAGGTTCCCATATTATGTTCTGACCTCCAGTATATTCCCATGTGTTCATTCAGTCCTATCACTCATTCTTAACATGTCCTATTCATGGATCTGAAAGGCACGGGATGAAGGACAAGGCAAAAGCTCAATCTGAAGAGCAAATGAGTCAGCCAAAAGATAACATGAGCAAAATTACTGAATGCATAGAATGGTCAGAAACATCTCAGAACCAGAGCCTCAATGCACCCACCTCATGTCCTATACACACTGAGTACATCTCCATGAATGAGTCTTCAAGTACCCATAGCTCTTTTTGTTATTGTTATTAATATCCTAGACCATTTGTTTTAGAATTGCACTTTCTTAAGCCTTACCCACAAGGACCTCATATTTATTTCAAAAAGATGAGGAGCACTACTGTTATAGAACTTCTTCCTGACCTGAACACAAAGATGGAATGTCTAAATATGGTGATCACTTTACAATTGGATGGCTATATTTGCAGATAAGTCAGCTTCAATAAAGAACACAGAGCCTCCAAATGGTAGTTTAGTTCATATTCATTTAAAAAAGAGTACTTAAAAAGTGATCTGAAGAATTGAGAATCTCATTAAATTACACATCTGAAAGGAAATAATCATGGCATTTTATTAGTGTTTATAAATTTTATTTATTAAATGTATTCATATTTTTGAAATTTGGAAGAGAATTATATATGACATTTAAATAGTTTTTGTTAATTTTATTTAAAAATTCACAATAGTTTGTGAAATGCATAAATTTACACTATGGTAGGCATATATATGAGATAAATTAGACTGCTAAAATATGCTAACTTATGTCTTAAGATTTGTTGACCTTGAGTCTTCCCACAGATTTTGATATACAAATAAATAGTCTATAACATATCATGACAATTTCTAGTCATTTAAAATATTCTTCTAAACATATGATTAAATTATCTACGTGAAAGCTTAAATGCTTAGATAACTCTTTAATGTATGGTCTTGGGCATCACTAAGAAACCAGAAAAAGTATTCAGCATGTGCATACAAAAGCATAAAACAACATGATTCTATGGCTTCCTTCACAAAATCCCTGCTCCTAATGTTCATCCAGACATGACAAAGTGAGTTACATGTCTTCAAATTAGCTTCCATATTTAATTTGTTTTGAACTTAGTCAAGTTGTTGTTATAATGTGTAGTTCAGTAAAACTAACAAGAATTTTAATGAATATGCCAGTTAGTTTAAAATCATTACAATTTATACTTAATAATAGCTGATATAGCTCAATAATAGCATGATATAACTCTGGCTTTTTGTTAATTTGATAATTATAAGTAAAAGTATAATTTAGATTTTATGACATTATTTCTTTTACCATGTATTAGTTGCATAATTATCAGTAGAATTGAACTCTGTAAGTAGTATTTATTTAGATAATGAGATATCTAGTTATTCACAAAGAATATTCACATAGAGACTTTTCAAGTTTTCAATTTCATTTTCTACATTATACAATAAAAACTGAGAAGTCTCTGCATACATAGCATAGAGTTTGCTTTATCAAACAGTGGCCTTAAAGATCTAATTGTTTATTATCCCATAAGAATACTAAATATAACCCAAGTTTATCTTCCAAAACCATAGATCATAAACTTCACTTTTTAAATAGTGTGAATGACCTGAAAATTGTCTCTTTTCATTAATATCAGGAAAGCAAGATGCAGCAAAGCACTGAGCAGAGAATGTCAAGTCGGGATGTTGTTAGCATGCACGGCATGTGTGGCCAGAAACCCCCGTCCTTTCCCGTCTAAATCAGACTTTCTCCCTGAAACTGACCTCAATTACCTGAATGAAACTCCTTCAAACTTTACTTGAAAAAAAATGCCTCAGTGCCCAACTAGTACCTAGCAAACAATGACAATCTTCAATTTAGTTTTCATTCTTTATAAATCGTGAATGTGAATTTGAACCATGATGACGTTGGTTATTGAATCATATCAGATTGCTACAGCTGAACAAAATGGGTAAAATTCAACAGTTTTCATTTTTTTCTCCAGAAGACAATCTATATAATTTTATTATAAAAGCCTGTTATATAACATTAAAAATAAAATCACCATATTGGACACTGGAAAGTAGTCCTCACCTGTCTTTCTCTAAATGCGAAATTCACATTTTGAATCTGACAGGTTTATAGGGCAGGAAATATTCCTGACATGGTCTTTCATCTCTGAAATAGTCTTTAATGAACTACAGGTTTTTTTCTTTTGAAATGATTTTTCCCTTTAAATGGGGGCAGAGCCCTTTAAACCCTGTTGTCATTAACCCATTACTAGATTTAAGTTTCCTGGCTGCCTAGGAAATATCTACCCTGAAACATTACACAGGGATTAAAAACAAAACGAAAAAGCAAACAAACAAACAAACAACCCACCACACACACAGAGATCCTCGGCTGAAGTTGTCAAGGTCTTTAGCCTTTTGTATGGTGGGAATAAATGATAGAAATGGACATAGAAAGACTATAGACAATTATCTCTCATAAATCATGTCAATTACCTAGGAAAGGTGTTCCCTTGGTGAAATAATGGTGATAGGGAGATGGTAGTCCCATGATTAGGTGTATTATCTCAGAAATGTTTTTAGGTTTACTGATAGCTTTTTCATAGTGAGCAGATGTAGATTTTCAAAGCAGTTCTGAATTATTTGTATTCATATCACAGATCGTTTTTCTTTTCCTCTCCTAATGAAAGCCCAGATGGCCTCCATTTCTGTGTGTGTGTGCATGTGCATATATGTGTGCGTGAGGATATAAACACATGAATCACCGCGTGCAATGATTTTAGATTAAAGATGTCAATTACCATTTATTACAGAATTTCCCAATCTTTCTAAATGTTCTCATGCTTTAATGCTATTATCTATTTGGCTTTGTTGTAGACTGTGATCTGGACATGAGATGCAGCATCCATCCTTGTAACAAGTTCACGGAAGCTGTCCCTGGTAACTGTCTGTCCAAAACTCTCCCCACAAAAGCTGAAATGTGGAGTGAGAGATACTGGGTAAAAATTGGTTGGTGCCTGGTCTGTTCTCTTGGTTAATGCTGAGTAAGACATTGCTTCACATTATTGTTCTAAATATTGTTGGTGCACTCTGTGGAACGTGCCACACAGGCACTGTTCTGTTCACACCAGGACTGAGAGCAGAAATGCCAAATCAAGAGAAAAAGTCTTTCTCAATATCTCCTTACTTGGGGAAACTATGTAGAGTTCCTTTGGGTAATCAACATAAGAAAGATATCCTAAGGCTCAAATCAGTCAACGAGCTTTAAAGGTGATTACACAGACATAAATCTACATAATTATAGCTCACGTAAAAGATTTTTAACTGAACAACTTGCAAGGATAGCAAAAAATGAAATTATTTTTAGTATATCAAAGTAAAGCTAAAACTGTATCTATAAATCTTAGGTTTATATAAACACAAAAATATAATAGATTACTTGGTCATCATCTTTCTAGCTGTGGAACTAAGCAGTGTTTATATTTGCTAATGCAGTAGTAACAGGGAAGATAACAGTTTCTACCGAAGGCCAAGTTCTCCTTATTTTCAGAAATCATATAAAAATTCTAGAAATTAACAAGGCCATTATTAAATTTTTAGAAGCAATAAAAAAACTATTATTCCAAATCTTACTGGATGAAATCAATTGAATATCTTCTGATTACAGGCTCCTGAAAGTTTTATTAGGGAATTAAAGTGCATTTGCTGCTTCATGAGAATGGGAACAAAATGTTGAGCTGCCTTGTGCTAAAATGGGAAATGCAACTTCTAAACACCAACTAATTTTGTGCTAACGATTGTGATCTAGGAACACGAAGAAAGATATGGCATGGTGTTCTCTAAGTGCTATCTGAAAATGACTAAATGAATACAAAAGAAGAGAGTAAATTCAAGACTTTTTAAATTTTAAACTGAAAGGTTTGCATGACTTTGTTCTGGTATTCAAATCAAACACACACACACACACAGAGAGAGAGAGAGAGAGAGAGAGAGAGAGAGAGAGAGAGAGAGAGAGAGAGAGAGAGAGCAGGTTTCTGAATTTTGAAAAAAAAGTCTAACAAAAACAGAAGAAAAAAAAAAAGGAATTACAGTGTATGGCCCCTTTGGACATAAATTACCTTTTGTAGACCATTCTGCTAAATGAGTATGCCTTGAAGCCTTCCCTATAAATTTCCAAATAATTTCCCTTTCTGAGCGTATATGTGCTTGTTATCATGAGGGCATGCTGATGCTCCACTTCCTTCTGGAAGGTAGGAAAGAGGTGTGAAGATGAAAAAACGGTGACTCATTTGGAGGTCGCCCACTCAACTGGCTGGCTGCCAGGTGGGCACGACCAGAAGGAAGACAATGTGGAGGCAGCATGTTGGTCAGAATGGTGATGATAGGGGAAGGAAAGTCAGTCTTCTCCATGACACTAGATCAAAACAGTTGAAAGAAAACCAAGAATACAAATTAACATGAATTTTTCATGACCTGATAGGCATTCTGGAATAACTCCTAGGGAAATAATTTCAGCAAATAGCATCAAAAGGCCAAATAATTTGATATTTTCTTAAAACACAAGCACACATTATTTTAAATTATCAAGCAATTCATTGATTACATTCCCACTTGACATATAATGTTTCCATCATCAAATTTTAGAATATTTTAACTGGTCTAGATATTTTTGGTAAGCAGATTCTATTAATTCTATAAATAACTGTTGCCACATCATTTATTTAAAGAGTGGTCTATATTCTATATTATGAGGCAAACATAAAAAACTTATTACTGTACTTTTATCAGGTATTAGACATTTTAAATGAAATGTAGCTTTTCTGCAATAATACTTCAATTTAACTTTTCATAAATATTTTTATTGGTTCTTTGAGAATTTTGTAGAATGAGTTTTGATGATATTCACCCCTTCCCCCAACTCATTCCAGATCCACCCACATTTCCTACTCACTCAATTTTGTGTCTTTTTAACCTATCAGCTGTGCTGCCTGTATATTCGTGAATATATAGTGTTTCGTTAGGGCATGGTTGACCTACTAAAGCTGGTTATTCCTCTCTCCAGAGCTATCAATTGTCATTAGTCCCTTGGCCAGGGGTGGGACTTCATGTCCACCTTCCCTCTCGTGCTGTTATTTGGTCAGGCTTGAATTTGCACAGGGCTTGTGATTCAGACATAGCTTCTAGTGGTGATGTGGAGCTGCCCTCTTACTTTTCCTTGTATTCATCCACTGCCTATGGTTCTTACACTCTTCATGTCTCTCTTCTGCAGTAACCCCTGAGCCTTGGGAGGAAGGGATTGGCATACATGTTCCATCTAGGGCTGAGCACTCCACAGTTAACTACCATCTGTACCTTGGCCAGTTGTGGGTCTCTGCATTAATCACCGTCTATGCAAACAGAAGCTTCTCTGATGAGGGTTGAGATGTACGAATCTACTGGTATAAAAAATAACTAGAAGTCAGTTTAATATTAAGTTCATTTAGTATAAAAATAGTAGTAGGTTATCTTACAGGGCCTATGACTTCTATGACCCTTACAAAACACTGTTTCAACTCTATTTTTTTTTCACTTTAAGTAAGTTGTGAATACAAAAAAATAAGATTCCTGACAAAAATAATGTTTTGCCTGAATTACTGAGGATATTTCCTCAAATAGTTCTCTTGCTTATTTCATTCCCATTTCTTTTCTTCCATTCTCAGAAAAAGACATTCATAATGTAATGGTATTTCTGGTAGTAAATATGAGAAATAGATTAAGGTACACACATGAGGATAAATACTGGCAAAACCTTCCCTACTTCTCGGTTTGGACCTTTAAACCCAGTGCTTGTACTTAAGCTACATCACTGTTATGGCTTGAAAGAGAACCACCTCCCTCAGACTTGTGTAAACTCTTAGTTCCCAGCTGACAGCACCATGTGAGAGGTTGTGGAATTTTAGGAGGTAAAGGACCTTGCTACAGGAAGTGAGGCCATCCCTATACTGGACCTCTCTGCTTCCTGATTCCCTTAGATGTAACCAGCTGCATCCTGCCCCAACCTCTCCTCTTCCTCCTCCTCCTCCTCCTCCTCCTCCTCCATGTTGGACTGCATCCCCTTTATCCAAGACCAGAATCACCGCTTTCTCCCTTAAGCTGCTCCTTGTGAGGTAATTGGACACAGTGACCAGAAAATCAACTAATACCATCTTTTTGAGCAAGTTATGCAACTTCTTTAGGCTTCAGTTTCTTTTGCAAAATGCATACAACACATCTTGCAAAGCTTTCAGAGCTGAATTACTAGGTAAGTGCAGAATACTTAGCAGTAACTAGTACATACAGCATGCACAAGAAACAGCTCACATTATACTTTCAAATGACTTTTGAATGTAGGAATTTCCTTTCTTTTTTGCATCCCAAACACTACCAGTGCCTATAAAAGCACATGCTCTGGCCCCAGGCATGTTCTTCTCCTTCTCTGCCCATCTCATGCCATTGCCTGGTCAAAGTCAGGCAGGGAGAGGCATCCAAATCATCCCCAGGGACTCTCAAGTTCTACAATTCTACATCATCTTTATGTAGTGAACTAATATGTGACATGAGGAGGACTTCATGTGGAACAAGAAGAGATGCACATAAGCAATGGCCATCACGTGGAAAGGAAGCAATCAACACTATCTAATCCAATCAAGAGAAACACTGAAACAATGTGATCCCACAGAAGAGAAGCAGCCGTCTTCAAAGAGAAAAGGGTCACACACAAGAAGTCTGTCCCTGTTCCAAGTGAGGGGCCTTGCCTGAACTGTGCTGGTTTCTGCAGTCACCAGGGATGTGACGCTGTGCGCACTGATAGCCCTATATCTTTTGGCATTTAGTTTCAGCTCACTCTGTCTTTACCCCAGTCATGTTTCATACTTTCTTCTAGTTTTCAAACTTGACCTCTCCACCCTGAGAATCAATATGAGCCTGACACCTGTATCTCAGGTTTCAATGACTGCTCATGTATCCTGTTCTGCTCTACTAAATGACCATCTCACCTCTGCTCAGATTTTAGTCATGACAGCAGCTACTGACTGGGCTGGAATATGCGTCAGGAAATGTCCTCAGATTTAAACAGAAGCAATTCAGTTCCCACTATTCATCCACTGAAATCATAGTGGTCAAAATATTGAAGAACTAATTCCTCAAAACAGGTGATGTTACCAGACTTAGCTTATACTTTAAGTTCTCTTGGCTCCTAATGAGGACTCTAAAAGTTCATAAATGACATTTTTAAGCATACCCTCCATTTCGTGGTGTCTCACAAGAAACACCTGGAAGCTGCTTCATAGCCCTGGCTCAGAATTCTCCAACTAAACAGGGTTCTTCCTCAGATCTAGGGGAAAGGGTCTCCTTTGTCACAAGTCCACAGCTACTCAATATCTGCATGCTCTGATTCCACAGTGCTCCAGAATCCAAATTTCTCTCTTCCTCTCCTTGGAGTGGAAAGGGAGGGTGGGAAGAGGAGAAGGGAGGAAAGGATAGACAGAGGGAGAATGAGACAGGGGAGAGAAACACTAAATCAGCATTCTGTTCAAGTGACAGCTAAGCTTTTAGTAACTTTAACAATAATAATAAAAAAAAACTTCAAATAGCAGAAAAACACAAACTCACAGTCAGATGAATTCATTTTACACATATTCAGCTTTGCATCTAAAATATTGCACATAATAGATAGCAAAGCAAGAAAGATGCAGAGCGTGTATTTGGGAGCTCTGTGACTCACACAGGAATACACTCCCGAGCATTAGTGGGTCGAGTCATGACTGAGTATAAATGTAGTCAGTGTGAACTTGGATGCATATGTCAGGGTCTGCTAGGATGTGCCAAGGGAAAGCATCAGGTGTTTCTATCACTATTCATTTCAGTGAAGGCCACTAATATTGAGGCCCTTTAAAACAAAGGAAATAATGAAGGACATTTCACCATCTTTCAGCTTGAATGGTAAGATAAGATGAAAAAAAATGAAAGCAGTGTTGGAATAGTGTCATCTAGAAGAACTGAAATTATAATGAGTTGGGGTTCAATGATGGTCAATCTACAGACTATATGTCTTGGTCTTTCTGAGTTCTTTCTGAACCATCATCTCTGGAAGATTCCTTGTGTATTCTTTTTTTTTTTTTTTTCTTTTTCGAGACAGGGTTTCTCTGTATAGTTTTGCACCTTTCCTGGAACTCGCTTTGTAGACCAGGCTGGCCTTGAACTCACAAAGATCCGCCTGCCTCTGCCTCCTGAGTGCTGGGATTAAAGGCGTGCGCCACCACCGCCTGGCTGATTCCTTGTGTATTCTGCCATTAGCTATGCTCTTCCATACCCTACTTTATTTATAATTTTACGTGTATGTGTGTAGGGGGTGTATGTGCTGGTATAGGTGCACATGTGTGTGTAGGTATGGGAGTGTGTGTGTGTGTATGTGTGTGTGGTGTACGTGCTGGTATGTGTGCACATGTGTGTGTAGGCATGGGTGTGTGTATGGTGTACATGCTGGTATGTGCGCACGTGTGTGTAGATATGGGTGTGTGCACATGCACATGGAGGTATGAGGTTAATGTTGTTTGGTTTCCTCACTCGCTTTCCACCTGAGGTTTGAGACAAGTTCTTTCACTGAACCTAGAGCTAGACCACCTGGCTGGCAAACCTCGAGAATCGCCCTATCTCTGCTAACGGGATTTCAGGGCAAGATGATGTACCTGGCTTCTTAGACAGACGCTGAGAATCTGATCTCAGGTCCTCATGCTTACCTGGCCAGCACCTGACAAACTGAGTCATCTCCCCGGCTCCCCTAACTTACTTCTCTCTTATGTGCTCTATATTACTCTTCTGCGTAAGGATAATTCACATCAAGTACTTGCTAAAAGTTCCCCTGGACTTTGTGGTAGATTGTAAGTAGGAATACTTCTCTTTGTAACAGACATTATTTGTTCTTAGAGTCCCATACATCCTGTTCTACCATAGATTACAAAGCACCCAGCACCATTACTTGGGCAGATCTCTCAGTTCCTTCAAAAGAACATATTCAAATTTAGAACCCCACCAACCTGAAGTGATTGTAGCGATGTAAATGAATTTAGCAGTATGCTAGTATGAAAGACAACAGTGTTTTTTAAAGTTAGTATTGAAAGCAAACTTCAGCTTCTTCTGTACTAGACAATATGGTTTGAATACAGCACAGATAAAATCTACTTATTCCTATCACAGCTACCAAGAACAGCAGATAAAAAGATTTCCAAAAAATTCCTCTAACATCAGAACCACCTTCTGAAAATGGTGTGACAGAATGTAGGGGCTGAGTAAACATGGGCCCCACTTCGGTTGAGTTCTATAGAGCCGGTGGTGAATAAACTGTGAGAAACCCAGCTGCCTCTTCTCCATGGTAAAGCAAGTCTTTGCTAAAGGAGATTTTTGGGGGTAGGATGAGACTTATAAGAGTACATGCTCTTTGACATGCCACATGCTTCTGTGGTTTATTGTTTTGTGGAAGTTCATGCTTCTTTAGATATTGGTATGCTGCATCTAAGAAGACGTTAATTTCCTAGGAAAAGGTTTTCTCCTTAAGATTAAAGAACAAATTTAATGGGGCTGTTATAATATCTAAGATTTCAGGGGAAACAGCAGAAGCTAAAAGCTCTAGTTGAAAGACTGAATGAGTAATGAAGTCATGAGTAGAAAAATTGACCTTGTATACTATCATTTCCCTCTCTATTTCTGGCTAGACAATCAGTTAGCAATTCTTGATCACTAATTGTTTTTTCCAGGAAGTAGTGGACATTGATTCTATGTTGCCATGGGAAAGAGACAAGGAAAGCTGCTGAGCAGGTGTGTGATGAGCAGGAAGCCTTAAGACTATGACATCTTGGTGAGTGATGGCTGTTAAGACAGACTGTGGCCGAGAGGCTATACACAAGCCAAGAAGCTAACACTGTGTGTCAGAGCTGCAGGCAAAAGGGATGTTCAGAGGGATGCACAAGGACAAGCTCCCACACTCCTAAACACCCACATTCCTGAACACCCACACTCCTGAGCTCACTGTGGACACCCACACTCCTGAACACCCACACTCCTGAGCTCACCGTGGACACCCACACTCCTGAGC